TAAGCGTGATTACAAGTATAGAATTCCCTTTAAACATGCATAAAGGCGTGATCAAGCAATAACAATAAATATCAAGCAACATAATAAAATAATAATCATAATAATTATAATCATCACAATGATAATCATAATATTCATAATCATCATAAATTATAACAATTATAATCATAATCATGTTCATGTTAATATTTAAGCATAATAATAATAGCAAGATCCTAGGCATGAAACTAACGAGATTAATAACAAACCCTAGCATGTCACTAAGCAATAAAAATCAAATCTTTAACCCTAACATGATACTAACAATCATAAATATTAGGAAGAACATAGGAAGCATCGTAACAATCATATTAAATATTAAAATTACCCTAGACATGATACTAGAAATATCATAATAACAATATAAACATGATTTCTACATCATAATATCAATTAAAACCATTAAAGTACTTACTTTGATGCCTCGTACCTCTTTCTAATAACAAAATACACACGTTAGTAACTTCAAGGAAAATAATAAAATCAACAATTAAATTAAATAATTGAAAGAGAGATTTGGGACCAAACCCTCAGAAATTAAACCTTTCACGTCTAGGGCGAAGGCAACTTTGAATATGGCAAGGTGTTTCTAGATCTTGTGAATGCGGAATTTTGTATGGGAAAACAAAGTTTAGAGAAAGAGAGAGAGAGAGAGAATAATCAAGAAAATCTTGATGAGAGTTGGTGAATGAAAACGAAGTTTTTAGTACCGTATTTATAGAGAAAATCTGTCAAAAAGATAAAATAAACAAAACAGAGTCTGACGCACAAAAAACAGAGTTGGCGCAAACCCTGGCTAGCTGGCGCCAGACACCAACACTAGCGCCAGGCGCCAATGGCTAGCGCTAGGCGCCAAAGCCTGGGGTTAGGCGCCAAGCCTAATTTTAACTCGTTTACGAAAATCAGATAAGTTTGCCGTAGTGGAAGATAAAATCATATAATTTCCTCGAAAATGCCATTTGATTTTGATTAAAACTCTGAAAAGTCAACAAAAGTCAATTTATCAATGCTAATTGAATTAGGAATGAAAAGAACCTTGTAGAAGATTCTAGAAGACTAAAACCATTCCTAATTGCATTAGGAATGATAAATCATATTAGGCCCTCCCCAAGATCATTGGGCCGTACATAAAGCTCAAACCGGGCCCAGTTTAGTAAATTGGCCATAACTTCCTCAATATTCGTCGGAATTGGGCTTATAATATATCGTTGGAAAGGTCTTTGCAAGCCCCATCCAACTACACTACTATTGGACCCATATCATGGACCAACAAAAATGGATTGGCTGTTTTCTTAAATTAAGTTTTCAAAAACAGAGAGAAGAGAAAAGAAATTAAAACTATCCGCAACACTAGACTTTTCACACTTTCACTTCATTCGATTATGATTCGACGTGAAAGGTACTCATCACTGAGTTTGGTTTTGGGGAGACACAAATGGGTGTCTACACGATGACATCATGCTTGCTATTTCCCTTCTTTTGTTTTTCTCTTCTCTCGATTTTCACTTCCTTGTTCTTCTTCCACTTCCGTCTTAATTCAGGCATAGCTTGAAATCGAATTGCTAAAAACAAGCTTTAGGTTTTACCGTTTTAATAATCACTTCTCCTACTGAATTGCTTTGCGCTTCTCCAGTATATAATTCAATAAAGAAAGGTAATTAAGTTTGCTTGATTGCTAGGTTTAGGTACTAAATTTGGAGGTTTTAAATTGAATTTTGGGTTTAGGGTTTTCGGTTTGAGAATTTAATTACCAGATTAGGGTTTTCAATTTGAGAATCTAATTACCGGTCGATTTTGGGTTTGAGATTAATTGGGGGTTTTCAATTGAATTGAATTTAGGGTTTGGGGTTTTCAATTTCATTAAAACTAAACAAAAATTGATTTAACCCTAATTTCAGTTGATTAATTTCGACAACGTAATCAAATTCCCAAATTGAATAAATTCTTAGATCAATCACTACTAGAAAAAAGGTCAATTTCTGATGGATGTATTTGGACGGACATGAAAATCCGTCGAAAAAAACGAATTTTCAGACGGATTTAAATTCTGTCAGGAATTTTCGACGAATTTTTATTTTCAGTCGAAAATTTCTTAATTTTCGAAAGATTTTCTATCGCAAAGTAAAAAATTTTTGACGGAAGAAGAATCCATTGGGAATTTCCGACGGAATTACCATCCAAAACCCTACATGAACTACATGAACAACTGCCCCCTCTTATTCCCCTTCATTTCACTTTCTCCTCTCTTTTCTCCCCTTCTCTCTCTTCTCCTTCCTCCTGCTCTTATCCTTGCTTCTCGTCCTTTCCCTTCTCTTTCATTTTCTGATCTTCTCCTTCTCCTTCTCGTTTAATTTCTCTTCTGATCTACTCAATCTATTTCAACTCCTCTGTTAGTTGAGACGATTAATACAGGAGAGGGGGTGAATTGTATAGAGTTCCTAATGACTACTTTCTGCGGATAAATAAACAATGTGTATAGGAACTTAATAAAACACACAAATTTTACAAGGAAACCTTCCAGGGCTCAACTGGAAGTAAAACCTCGACCCTACCTTAGGGATTTCAGACACAAAACATTTCACTATAATAGGGCAAACACCAAGTTACAACCTATTAGACACAGACCTTTATTTCACAAGTTCCTCATTGGACTTGCTACTTGATAGGACCCTATCCTACCCAATATAAGTACCACACTTAGATTCACTCATACCACCAAAGTACTATACGTACTGCCAAAGTACAACTACTCGTACCACTCAAGTACAAAAACTCACAGCCTTTCCTAGAAGCCAACACAAAATTGTATATAACACAAACTATAAATTCACCCAAATAACCCAACCAATACAAATATATGACACCTAGTATGATAGTAAGCAATGCACGAAATCCAAAACTAATATGACAAGTTAGAAGCTTGGTAAACTTACTCAATTATAGCACTGTGATTTCTCCACGCATAAACTCACAAAAACCTAAAATCATTTTGCCCTCTACTATTTATACAAGTAACACTCGTATGGAAAGTAGGTTTTCTAAAAGATAAATAAGTAAACTTAACTTATCTTTTAAACACGTTTTTAGTAAATCAAGTGGAATAAAATCTTTTCCGGAAAATAAGCTTAAAAAGATATTTATTAAGAAGACTTATCTTTTTAACAAACTGATTTTAAAGAAAATAATCTTTTTAGAAAATCTTTTCCTAAAATTTATCTTTTATTATTTTCCATATTTATTTTATTTACCAAGCAAGCTTATCACGTTTCTAATAAATTTCGTGCACTAACCTACTTAACATATTTACAATAATTTATAAGATAAAAACCTTAAGTAAATATTATTGCTGCGCCGCACTTTGATCAGGTAGATTACTTGGGCTCCAAGCATATTAAGTTCCACCAAAGAACTTAAACTGCTTGTCTTCAAGTTCCTGTTAGGGAACGCTCCTGTTAGGGAACTTAGTTCTTGTTAGAGAACTCTTCCTCTGATTTGTTTAACTTCTTCAATAAAGATCTTCTTCATGTCTTCTTAGTTTCAGATGGTTCTTCAATCACCATGATCAATCTTCACCTTGACTAATCACACACTAGAGAATCTTTATTAGTTGAGTTTGCTTTTAGTTCAAGTTCTTCATCATCAAAACCATTATGCTTCAACAATTTCCCCCTTTTTGATGATGACAAACTTAAGCAAACTCTACAACAAGTTAAACAAAATAGAAGGTCGTATTTTTTTATTATTTTTTTTATTTACAAAAAGTAAACACTCACAGAAACAAGACAAATAAAATAAAAACAAAAATAACAAAAATAAGCAAAAGTAGACAAAACAGAAATAAGCTAACTACTGCTGCATCATATCTGAGAAATTTCTAATACTATCTTAACTAGAACCCAGAACAACTTTAGCCTCCAAGTTTGCTTCTTGTTTTCCCCCTTTTGGCATTATCAAAAAGTCTTGTTTTTCAAGTTATTAAGCATCTAGCCACATCCCCACAAGCAATTCACCGAGTGTGGGAAACTGAAGGCAGCGCTGCTAACTTTCCTTAAGTTAGTTCCACTTTCTTGCATAAGCATTCATAACATACAGATACACACATGCATAGACAGTTCCAAAAGGCATTCATTTAAAAACCAAAGATAAACATCCTGTTAAAACATAACCTTACAAACCAAAATAAATTGTTCAAGCATTAAAAACTAAAGTTGAAAATGTTCATGACTGCAAAAGGGAGTAAGGATAGGATATAAGCTGAAAGGGGAATGGCTAAGTTTGTAAGAGGCTCAGAATCTGTTTGCTGTCTTCCTTTTGTTGTGCAATGAGAGCTTCCAGCTTGTGCTCAAGACTCTGTATCTGCTGAAGAAACTCCTCCTTTTGTTCCTTCAAAGCCTTGTCTTGTTCCTGCACAAGCTTCTTGATCTCATGATAATGGACTAATTTAACTAAAAACTTAAGCTGATGATTGAAGTCTAAGATTGGTTAATTTATATACTCTAACCATAATGATTTTACAATTACATACCCTGATATATATATCTACATTGAATTCGAGTACTCTTCTTAATTGTGAGGTATACATGGTCGTTGAAGCAATTAAAGAGTAAACTGATGACTTCCAACAGTAATGACCTATAACTATAAATAGAGGTAGCATTAATTTGGGTTGTTTTTTTTTGTAAATTGTGGATTTCATTCCAAGTTAGGTGCACCTAAATTGCACCTAAGGATATTTTATTTTTTGCTTTATCTGTATGTGAAAGTTCTTATTAGGTGCACTATGACCTCTATCCCTATGTGCACCCGGGTGGATGTTATGTTATAATATCTTATATGGATACTAAAATAAGAAAAGCCTAATGGTAACTTATCAAACACCACATGTAAAATCAATTACATATTTTGCAACTAGATGTATAACACTGCTACAACAAAAACCCTGCCAACACTTCCAACAAGACAAGATGCTAATTTGCTTACAAACCAGACAGATAAGTTCAATGCTTTGCTTAATTAGCTTCAAGAGTTAACGTGTTAAATTAAACTTGAATGATTTAATTAGTTATTAAAAGTCTAAAAGCCATCATGTAGAGCATGTTAATTATTCAGTGGCATACAAATATACTTGTAAACTAAATTTCGAAGCATGCATTATTATGAATTATGATGGATGAGGAATAGCCGGTGTACGTCTAGCTGTTTAATTTGATTATGATGAAATGGATGTGGAAACCGCGAAATACAAGTTCAGCTCTGTGAGAAACAAAAAATGTTTCTCACAGGGGTAAAAATGTCATCAAAAATAAAGTGCAGGGCTGAACTTGTAATTACATAAGTTAAACGAAGAACGTCTTCTAAAGTTTGACTAACGGTGAAGAACTTCTGGTAAACGAAGTTAACCGCATCAAGCCCTAGGAGAGAGCCTCTGAGTATGAAGGGGGGAATATCGACAATTGGAGCTGGATATGAGTTCATAGGAGTTGGGTTTGTGTTCATTGGAGGTGTTGTGGGGCGAATTTCGACAATTGGAGTTCAAAGGAGCTGTTTGGGGAGAAATAGCAAGAATTTGAGTTCAAAGGACCTAGTTTGTGGCAATTTGCGATATTTTGAGATCGGTTTGGGGCGAGTTGCAACAATTTGAGTTCAAAGGAGCTGTTTTTTTGGCGAATTGCGACAATTTGAGTTCTAAGGAGCTGTTTTTTTGGCGAATTTCGATAATTTGAGTTCAAAGGAGCTGTTTTTTGGCGAATTGCGACAATTTGCGTTCTAAGGAGCTGTTTTTTGGCGAATTTCGACAATTTGAGTTCAAAGGAGCTGGTAAGTGGTCGAATTTCTGTCGAAATTGGTTGTTGAGCTCGTTAGTATGTGTTCTGCTGTTATGTGGTTTAATTCCATATTGAAGTGTTTGTATTCAATCTTGATATGTTAATTCCAGAGTGAAATGTTTTGTATTCAATTTTGCCGATGAATCATATTTGCCTGTATCGATTCCAGACTGATGATATCGATTTATAATGTGATATGTTAAATTTGGATGTCATAGGTTTTTCCATTGATTTTGTTTTCTCAATTTTTGTAGATAATGAGCTCTGTCAAACATGAAAGAGGGATGTCATCAATGGTAAATAAGAATTAAATTTCTTTTGTATTCACTTTGTTCAATTTAGCAGTGTAGGAATTATCTACATAATTGGTCAATTATCTTGGTAACATGGCAGAAATGGATTAGCAGATCCGTGGGGGAAAGTACTACCAACTGAACTTTTTGTGGTAAGGATTTATAAGGAGCGTTGTGTTGGATTCAAATATTGAATTTTTTTATCTTAATTATGGTGTTTTTTTGAAGGATGATCTTATTAGCGTAGGCGGTCAAGTTAAGAGAAAGGGTGAGGTAATCAAGAAGCAAGGGGAATTGTTTGGGAGGGTATGTGTCACTACATTGTTGTGTATGTTTTGTCCTAGCTATTTTAAAGATAGTGAGTGTGTTTCTTATAATTTTGTGTTTCCTCCCTTTTGAATTGCAGCCTCCAAATATGAACTGCCGTATTGAGACCTTTTCTAGAATATGCCACACATTCGATGAGAGAAGAACTCATTGGGTTAATGAAATGGGGTTAGGTGGGTTATTGAGTATTCCAAGCAACATACACTTACCTCGACAGTTAGGGTATTGGATAATGACTCGTATTGATCCTGTGAATAAGGTGCTTATTGCTCCGGATGGCAAATAATTTAGGCTAGCTGCTAATCAAGTGCATTGGGTATTGGGCATTCCTAATTAGGGCCTTACTGTCCCCACTAGTAAATCGATGTCACCTATGTTGCATGATAAGGTTATTAGCATCCAGGAAAAATACGGTCAACCATCTAAGACTAGGTCAAAGAAGTTTGCCGGAAGGGTTTACACATCTATAGGCATACCTGTGAATTCCAAAATTATGGAACGGGTTGAGGGAAAATGGGAGGCGCATGAGGAGGAGGAATTTAAGACATTATTCTTGTTGTTGTCACTTGAAATGGTGTTATGTCCAACACAGTCTCCAAGGTTGGCCTGTGATTTGTTTCCTGCTCTTACCTGTGCAATGAATGCTTCTTGTTACAATTGGTGTGAGTTGGTGTTGAATAAGTTGATGGAGAGTGTTGCCAGTTTTGCAAGGCGTTTTTACTCCACTGGTGTAGCCGGTGGATGTGGTGGTTGTACAATATTTGTTGTGGTATGTAATTCAAATTTCAAAACAAGCCAACCTATTTTTTGTTTTGTTCTGATGTTTATATTGATATTTCATATTTTATGGTTGTGATAGGTATTTTATCTTGACAAGTTAAACCAGTTTCCTGTGCAATGGGGTGAATTTCCTAGAGTTAAGGTGTGGAACATGAATAAGATTGGTGTTGCTGTTAAGCGGGATCGGTTTGCAAGCGGAGGTGATTATGGGAAGTTAGGGGTTAGTGTACAATATATGTTAAAGGTTTCCTTTGGTTGTTTTCACCATTGTGATTAGTGATTATGTCCGTTAATTGTTGTAGAGTTTAGATGTAGCATATGGAGAGAATCATCCCAAGGATGCTAGGGATAGCAATGGCCCTGCGTCTATGACTGAGGTATATTAATTGTTTTCTGTAACTTGGTTTGTATATTGTGAATGTCCTTAATTCTGATGGAGTTGTATATTGTGAATTTCCATTTTAGGGTGTTATTCATGAGTTTGTTCAACCTCCCGGCTATGATAACACGAGGCGGAGGCGTGGTGCTCCAAAGAATTCAATTTCAAATCAAGTAAAACGGACTAAACGTCGACGTCGATCGACTTCTGAAGCAGGCTCTGTGTCTCCAAATCCAACCAATTCCAGTACTCAACCGCCATGTGATGAAGAACCTAACCGTTGTCATGCTATTTCTGTTGTTGGTGCCGGTTCAATGAATTGGTAGGTAACCATGCTAATTACTTTGTAGGTGTTTTATTTGTGTTGTATGTTAGCTCAATTAGCTGATTTTGCTCTCCTCTGATCTCAATTGAAGGACCATTTCTTCAGATTTGGAGTGGCTATTAACTCGACTCCTTATATGGGTAATGTTTATGGAAACTCAATGTTCATAATTCTTTATTAATTTTAAATGTCCATCGCACTTATGGTTTTGTAAACAGTTTCATAATGTGTGTAGGATGGGATTATGCGACGGTCGTAATCTTGTGAGAATGGCTGCTAGTACGCAGACTGAGGTGTTGTTCTGTGGTGCTGCAAATGGATTGCAACTGCTGCGGATTATAAATACCTTTATCCAATCTCCATGTAGTCAGTATCTGGCACTCGTTGCACAGGTTAGTTTTGTGTTTTATTTTTTTAAATGACATGTTCCTCAGAAAATCGGTTGATTTGGGCTTATACGATTGAAACTTATGGACCAGACGCAGGACCGCGATGTTAGACGTAGTTGTACTTGGCTTGTTGCAAAATCAGGAGCGCTATCACTAAATGGAGAGCCTACTCAGTTATGTGTCTTGAGAGCTGACTATCCATCAACATCCTATCATGTTGTAAAGAGCCGTGTAAGTCTGTTAATCATTTCATGTTGTGGCAGAAAGGAAGATGATACGATCTTTGAATGCATTATGAATTAATCAACACTTGTGTTTTGTTTTCAGAGAGGCTCTGCAAAAGAATTTTATGCTGCTATTTATGATGAATGGTCCAAACATATTCCATGTGACGTTATTGTTCTAGCTAAATAAGGTCTTCCCTATATTCATTAATCTGATGGGTTTTTTTATACTATTTATTTTATAAAGTACAATGTGTTACTGTTTTTTTTTTATAAAAGTACAATGTGATGTAATGTACCCATAAAATTTCATTCTTCTTTTTCCGTTTCTTCTTTTATACTCTTGGGTTAATGTTAAATTTTTGGGCTGGCCCACAGTCCAAAAAGATGTAGGTCCAAATTAACCAATTTCATTCTTCTTTTTCCGTTTCTAAAGAGCTCAGTTTATTCCTTATTGACAAAACAAGTAAAGATGATACTTTTGTACCAATAATATACACGTAATAAGAAATAATGTACTCTAATAATTTCTACTTATTTGGTAAAATAACCTTGATCAAATCTGAACATATTGATCAAACTGGCTAAAGTACCAAAATTTTTTATTTATTATTTTTTTTTGGGCCAACCCGGTCAAAATTAATTTGACCAACTTGCATTATTTTGTTTCTGTTAAGAAAGAGCTCATTTTTCAAACAAGTAAAGGACAAATAGTCTGACCTATAGTACCTAAATCCGAGACAATGCACCCTATTTTGTATTTGAACCTTAATTGGCAAGAAAATATTTATTACTTAAAAGAATATCTACTTCAACATTGGAATAAAACATTGCCTTCATCTGAAAATATTGACCATAAATACTAATGATAAGTCTTGGTAGACTTATTAAGCTATGTTGATGTAGTTAATTTCATTGACCTAATAATATTATGTAATGGTCCACTACTTGCGAAACACAAAACACACAGATCATAACAAACAGTGGCGATTAGATTGCCTTAATTCATTACTAACACAAACAAGGGCAATTAGATTGCCTGAATTCATAGCAGTGCTAAGAGGAGTTGTGGAGACCGATTACCACAAACTCGGAGCAAAAGCCACAGAAGTTTTAGTTAATACAAACCACCTAAATACGAATTACATAAACTAAAAACCATAAAAAGAAACAAATCCCACATCCGGGTCAGCAACAACACTTTTTCAGAAATTCCACCTCCAACATCAAGGACCTCATGATCAGATACTAGGCATCTCCACCATTAGCAGCGGCGGCCGAAGCACTACTTTCGTCGCCAACAGTGGCTGCTGAAGAACCACTTGCCTCACCAGTGGCTGGAGTAGCAGGCTGCGTCATAATTAAAACAAAGTAGTTAGTAATAAGCAAAATTATCATATCAAAATATATTACAATAGATAAATTAGGGGGAAATTTGGATTGAATACTAACCATAAGAACACCCAGGACCCTCAAAGGGCTATCACCCATTGCAGCAACAATGAACTCTCCCGAAGAAACCTTCTTGTCATCCCAAATTACAGCCGCGCCACCACATATCCCAATGCTCTCGTCCAGGGACCAGTCAACCTCATATTCAATGACCTTAACAGCTTCTTCAAAGTTCTTCCTACCCACCCTTACTTCGGTTATTATGAAAATGATTGGCTTGTTTTCAACCAAATTCCACTTAAATGAAGGGCGGGTAACACCACGTGCATTCCACACAACAATGGACGACCCTAAGTCAAATGCTAGACTCCCTGTTTTGAAACTACAATCAAGTGCAACATCCACGAACCTAAGAAAAGGGTCAATCTTAATCTTACCAGCAAGAACAGTAATCACAATTTCACTCAAGTTAGCATGAACATAGTACACTTGGAACCCATCACTATAGCTAGCCAAAGAGGATTCTACCTTCCTAGCAGTTAGGGGGGTACACTGGACCAGCTACATCTATGTTAGGGGAATGACCTCACTGACAAACTGAGTGTCATAAGACACATCACCCTTGTTTAGTTTCTGAAAAACATCAATAAGGTCGATTCTACCAACAATGTCAACTAAATTTGGTAAATGAGTGGGACAAGGGATACCTGATGGATCTGCATTCCTTCCAATTTCGACTTCCACGGGCTTTCAGGACTATGAATATTTAGTTTCAATTTTCAGATTTAAAATAAACATAAAACATAACAATGGATACGTTTTAGTACTTTAAACAATTTTTAAAGGAAATTTTGTCTTGCACCTAACATTACTTTTCTTTCCCAACCACAACTTGAGATTCTATTGTTCACTCATTACATATGGTCACAAGCCGACTGAATAGACCAAACATAACATACTTTCCCAATGCATAGGTCACAATATTTTCAAAAGATTTGCTCAATTCTAATGGATATGTCTTTGTACTTTGTAATTAATTAAAAATCATCTAAGTGTTAGAAACCGACAAAAAAGGTAGGGGTTTATTGTTAAATACTGACAATTATGTTGAATATGCGTTATTTACATACATTTATATTTCCTTAATGTCACCGAATACTCTTAAAAAGTTAAAGTCTTCTTATTATTAAATTTTATGTCCTTACACTAAATCATTTATTTTTCTAAAAATAAAACTCAGCTTCAATTAATAGCAATTACATTGATTTTTTCCTTTAAATAAAGCAATCTAATTGCCAAATTAGTGACTAACTAATTTAATCTGAATCATGCAAAAAACTAAATCATTTGCAATTGTTAATAGTCCTTAACCGAACTTTGACTTAATAATCTTTATCTCAAGAATCTCAACCATCCCCTAAATTTTGCAAATCAGGTTATTCTTTCTATGAAACTTGTCCTTGGGTGATATGACCATTCAAGAGTATATGTCCTCACCTTGTGTGCAGCTGAATTACACCCTTATACAACTTTATCAAAACCCTTTTTTTGCTTTCTTAATATCCAGTGGATAAAAGGGAAAAATATAATGTATATTTCAGTAGTATGCATATTCATGATGGAGTAGTATAATTCTTAGAACGAAATTAACCAAATTATGAGCATCATGGTGAACTTGTTTTTTGGTGAATTTATATCAAAGTTAAGGGAATACAAATGTATTCACGTATATGTAGATTTGAACTTTAAAATTTATTTATTTATATTAAGGAAATAACGATGAAACTTAAGAAGACTTAAGAAGACTATGTTATAAAAACCGTACAGAGTACTTTCAAAGAAGATAAATACATAAAGCAAGGATAATTTGGCTTAACAAGCAAGCAAGTTTACTTTTGCTTTTCAGTTTACAGCAAAACCTTGTGTTGTCAAATCAATACAACGTTTGTGAGGGGAATGCCAACTGAATTTTCTTCTTCTTATGCGCAACCTATGACCTTTGGTCATCTTCCCAATGTGACCTGCTAAGATCTGATTTTGTCCTCCCAACCATACAAAAGTAACAACTTCAATTATTTATAAAAAAAAACATGTACGATTTTGCTAGTTAAGATCATACTAGCTTGTTTTTTTTGTTAATGAATCCAAAAAAAAATTAAATACAAAACAAGTTGTTGTAAATTGTTAGGATCATTTCAATTAAAAAAAATATTTAAGGAAAATTCAATCCATTCTAAGGATCAGCTATGATTATACGTCAAGAATTTGTTACTTTTTAGAATGAAGTATTATATGGGTATATGCTCGGTTTTTAAGGAACCAAATTGTTGTAGGTAGTTCTAATAGTTACATATCAACTACATGCAAAATGATGTCCAAGCTGGCAATCCGTTTATCTAACACATCTAATACTGTAGCAACTTTATCATGCATCAATCCTAGGTGGCAATCCGTGTATCAGTTGTTGAAGTGCATCGTTGACCGTTGATAGCTTATGATCATCTTTGTTGATGAATGCTAAGGTGATAACCATGTTTAGTATATCCACAATTGTATTTAATTAATAACAATACCGTGTTTTGTAGTTATTAAATATTATTAAAGGGTTAAGTTTGAATGTACGTATATAAAATGTCATTGACACAGTTCCACCTTAGGTGTAGTCTTTAACAAACAAGCGTCTGGGTTTAGAGTATAGGTTTAAATTCTAAATGGTCTTAGTAAATTACATGATCTACGTTGAAAATACATGATATTACATCAAACTATGTTAACCTAGCTTTGTTGATCATACAAAATTACCAATCAAACCATTCATTGGTGCAATCGATCGAGTCTTGGGGTATTATATGTTCGGTTTAGGGTATCGCCGGTAAAATGACATTGACCCAATAAGATTATAATCAATTGAATGATACAATCCAGGGTTAATCGAACGTAATAATAGTTGTAGTGTGTTTAACATCCATGTTGTACTGAATTTGTCTTCTGAGTTATGATTTCAGGTTTACGGTCGAGGGTTTATGGTATTGGTGGTATGGTATAAGGATAATGATTAAGGGTTTAGGATTTACAGTCCAGGGTCTAGGGTTTTGGTTTTTAGTTTAGTGTTTAGGGTTTATGGTGTAGGGTTTAGGGTTTACGGGTAAGGGTTTAGGGTTTAGTGTTTAGGTTTAGGGTTTTAGGGTTAAGGCTTAAGGGGTTTAGGGTTTATGGTTATGGGTTTAGGGTTTATTTAGGGTTAAGGGTTTAGGGTTTAGGGTTTAGGGTTGAGGGTTTAGGGTTTATTTAGGGTTAAGGGTTTTGGGGTTTAGGGTTTTAATAGACACGTTTTAGGGTTTAGGGTTTAGAGTTAGGGTTTAGGGTTTAGGGTTTTAATAGACACGTTTTAACTACAAAACGAATTATATGTCTCGTTAAATAATTTTTAAAAATTGTTTAATCATTTGCATGATTGGTTTAATATTTTTTTTTGTTGAATTAATTTAGCCCGGTTTGCCAGCTGTTATGATGAAGATCAACGAAATCGCTCTACACGGTGTGGAGGACACGGACAGCGATTAGTACGAGTTCTTCTAATGTGTCATAAGGTAGATATGTAATACCTTTGAACTTTAATATAAATTTAAATATTTTGTCTTTTGGGTGCAAATTCATGTTATCTTTTACAATATTTCAACAGTGAGTAAAATAATCATGTTTAATATAAAATTATTATATTGATTAAATTATTTTATGTAATAATGGGATTATCTATTAGACTATTGATTAAAATTACTAAGACAGAACCATAAACTATTTTACAATTTGATTGCTAATTGAAATGGCATATTATCATTGTGAAAAAAAATTATACAACTGAACTAGCTCTAGTTTAGCAAAACTGATGCACGTAAAGATGATGGATGATGGATTGTTTTATCCAATGAGTATTAAGCGGACCAAGACAACAAAAGGATATGATAATATAAAGTTGGCTAAGGGTCAAATTCAGCTGAACAAAGGTCTAATTTTGAAAGGTCTTATCACCATCAAAATATAATTTTGTAAAAAAGATAAAATTTCCATGTTTTAGGGGATGGTGGTAAGTACCTATTTCCATGCAATTCTTGGATTGGTACTTTTCAATGTTAAAAGCAAAATTGTAAGCAAATTGTACATAGATATTTGTATCTTTACACCAATTTGGCTATTGTTAATATGTGTAAAGACTGTAATAGTGTTGTCTCTAATATTTGATCCGAATAACATTGAAATTAATAGTCTGATCATGAAAATTATCTAATAAAAAAGGTTTATGTATTATAAGAGTAACAACTTGAAAACCCGGACCTCATAAAAAAACAATGAAAAGATAAAATTTGTGGGTGAAAGAAGTTTGAATTTGTGGGTGAAAGAAGTTTGAATTTATAGTAGTTTGATCGGAATAACAATCAAATTAGTAGTTTGATCATGAAAATTACCTTCTAAAAGGATCCTAGGCATACTAATTATTTGCTAAAAATAATCTTAATCCCAAAAATACTAAGATTCGTATTTTAAGAGTACGCTACGCTTTTATTCGTGGGAATAAAACTACACATAATTATATAGTGTTATCATATTATGAAACTCATTTGCTAATCAAGGCGTTGTGAAATATTAAAGCAATTTCCCGCCTTTCACCCTCCAATGTGTTAAGTGGTCATTGGATGTTCATTAGTATAAATGTAATGAAGGTGGGAAACTTTGTATTCACCTCCCAAACATGAAAAAATCATCATCTGTGGTTAGGGTTTCCATGGCTTTACAAAACAAACCTGTTTCTTCTCCCTTGGGACCCAACCACATCAAACGCATCCAAAGACCCAAAATGTTAAGCCTTCTTGTGACCGCCAAAACGGCACGATAGCCACCTCGTCCTATCAAAAAGAGGACTCACAAGAGGTTCTCTCGGAAGCAGAAAAATCTGAGGGTTTGGAGCTTGAACCATAATGCCTCAATGAGGATTATGGAGCATGCACCAGCCAATCGTTCTCCCCATCATGGGTCAAATGCTGCTACATCGAAAGTAATGCAGCAAATGAACGAGGGCGTGGCATTCGTCCAAGCACTGAAAGCAAACAATGATGGTGCTGCAGATGGGAATGAGGGTCTTGTCGTTGAGCAAGATGTGAGGCAGCATGAAGTGGAGGAAGAAGGCGTTGTAAATTCACACACAATAATTGTGAAGAGTAGACAACAATATGACCTTGGAGTTGTTTATGAGGTAAGGGATGATGAAACATTTGAAGCCATTTATGGTGATTATGCTTCCCGTGTGGATCTTTCAACCACGGAGATTGTTCTGAAGAAATTTGGCATGGTAATTGCACCTACGGCTACCGTTTCTAGTGCAAGAATACGTACAGGAGACATAATTTATGTCAGTGGAGTGGTAAAAATGCTTTACTTTGTTTCTCTTTATCTTTTGTGTTCTTATTGTTTAGTAAGTAGATTAGATTTATTTTGTGAATATAAGTGGTGATTATCTTTGTTTTGTGAAAATTATGTGATTTATTTTGTGAATATAAGTTGTGATTAACTTTGTGTTTTGAAAAATTTGTGAAGGATCCTTCGAAGAACATGAACACCAAGTTTAAGTTCTTCTACATCAGGAACACTTGTACTCCTCCGACTGAGTTGAGGGTGTATGGGAAGCTGACTTCTAAGTTATGGAGATTGTTTGACAAATGGGCTGCTGAGGTGAACAAAGACCCGAATTGCTTGAAGTTAATGCATCAGGATTTGGAATTGAAACGCGATAAGATCATTGGACAATCTGGGATTAAGAACTCAGACTATGTTTATGCTTTCCCAGAATTCTAAGTGGTTCGTTTAAGTAGTTATTGGTGGGCAATTAGTTTAAGGTTTGTGTTATGTATGGGTCCATTCTATTTTGGCCCAAAAGGTTTCCACATTGTTTTGGGCAATCTTTTTTTTGGATTAGTTGATGTACTGGAAACCTTTTAATCCCTTTTTTTTTTTATAAAGATTACTAATGTAATGCCACCTCACTACTTTAACTGTTATTATGCAGAATGTTTTAGACTTTATTGGTAATTTATGCGTGTATGCTTATTAAATATTTATATAAAAAAAATATAAGTTAAGAAATATCATTTCATAACTAAATTGATCGACTAATTCGATTGAAACTTATGAAAGTTATGACAATAATAACATTAAAATTATTAAACAAAAAGTGCAAGATAATATAATCACATGCTCTAAATAACTTAGGATACTTAGAGCACTCCCAGCAGTGAGGAGAAAAGCCCTCACGAGTAAAAATAAGGGTGTAAAAAAAATACCCGAGCATTACGTTAGTGAGGGAAAAAACCCTCACCGTTGAAAGCTATGGAAAACGCACAAGAGTTGAGGGGAAATACTCGTGAACAGTAACAAGTGGGCCCCACTCGTACACGCGTCTTTCCCTTTTTTTTTCCCTTCTGGCTTGCAAAACGACGTCGTTTTGCCTTAAAGAAGGGCGAAACGACGCCGTTTTGAGGGGCAAAAAGGGAAAAAAAATAGGGGGCAGCTGGCCTGACGCGCGTCAGACCCAGCCAATGGGGATGCGACACGCGTCAGGCTTTATCCTTCCAACCAATCAGATTTTTTTGCTTTTATTACAACGGTTATATTTTTGTAAGGTAAATATAACCGTTGTAATTATAAAAAAAAAAAAAACAAAATTCACCAACGGATAGATTTTTTTTTTTCTCTATAAATAGACATGCATTTTGATATACTTTCAAAAAACCTATAAATACTACAAATTTCCTTCTTTTCCCAATTTCTTTGAGTTATTTTCATCATTTTTATTATTATTATTATTCGTAAAAAAAAAAAAACCTCAGTTATTATTTAGTATTATTATTATTATTATTATTATTATTTTTATTATAATTATTATTATTATTACTAGTAGTAGTAGTAGTGTTAATTTAAAAAAAGTAGTAGTTTTATTGGTATTCTTATAATTATTATTATTATTATTATTATTATTATTATTATTATTAATTTCTTTATTATTATTTCTGTTAAATTTATTAATCCTTGAAAAAAATCGTATTATTATATTGTCAAAAAAAAGTAGTAGTATTATTATTGTTGTTGTTATTATTATTATTATTATTATTATTATTATTGTTATTATTATTATTATTATCATTATTATTATTATTATCATCATTATTATTATTATTATTATTATTATTTTGCTAATGGATCCTAACAAACCAGATTTTTCTAATTATTTTCTGATTTGGGTGATGATTTTGTCACTAACCCTCGATTTCAAACCTTCCTTCAACGAATAGCTACTCAATATCCACCGCAACAAACACCTCCTCAATTTCCACCACAACAAACACCTCCTCAATTTCCACCACCACAAACACCTCCTCAATTTCCACCTCCTCAATAGCTACTCGTTATTTATGTTTTAATACTCGTGTTTGTATTTTATTTTAGTAGAACCACTTTTATCTAGTTCGTACTTGTACCGTTATTTAACATCCCATGTGTTTGTATTACCGTTATTGAAGTTCCCATGTGACTATTTAATGTGTTCATTACAAAAATGTGCTACTAATTCAAATGTTAAATTATAAATAAAACGTAATTGAAAAATAAAAAAAAATTATTAATTATAATTAAAACGTAATTGACAAATAAATAACAATCTTATTAAGTTATAATTGAAACGTAATTGAAAAATAAATATAAAAATTATAAATTTTTATTATATTATTTTTAAACGTAATTGAAAAGTAAATATAAAACTTATAAATTGTTATTAAATTATACATTTTTATTAAATTATTTTTAAATGTAATTAAAAAATAAATTATTTTCACATATTTTAATTGTATTGGAAAATTAAATATGTAGTATAAACATTATTTCAAAATAAAGATAAAATAAAAAGATGATGTGTATTATGGTGGGGTATAGTAAATAGTGGAGGAAAAAGTGATGAGAGGTTTTTTTTTCTCCTCATTGATGTAGTGAAAAAAACATTTGATGAGAGAAATTGTATGGGAGGAGTGAGAAAGTGGGTAGAGAGAGATTGAGAGGTTTTTTTTTTTCCTCACCGCTGATAGTGGTCTTAGCATAGCAAGTTGCTATTTTACATGATATAAGTCAAAGTAACTGTAATGTTTTGTTAATTACATACGTTAAGTGCCATTGTTTTCCAACCAAAATAGACCCATGCAAAGCAGAGTTTTGATTCCCCAAAATGTAGCACACAAATTAATTAAAAAAAAGGGCATACGAAACATCTAATATAAACATACGCTACTACCGAGTAGCAGCGGTAACAAAATCCCTCCATCTTCATCTTTTCATTCCTCAATGAACAAATCGGCTTCAGGAAATTCAATTTGGCGCATTCTGCAACATGAAAATGGATCTTGTTAAACAAAACATGATTAAGACTTGGAGTTTATAATCAGAACAAGGCTTGGAGTTTATTACCTGCAGCTACCTCGCAATACAACCGTCAAATAAACATCATTATTAAGACTGGGTTTGGAGTTACGCCAAAGAGCTGAACCTGAACTTCGTCATCAACTTCAACCTCCTCATCACGAATGAACTCCAACACTCCTTTTTTGTTGCTGCAAGAAATAATCTTCCTCCTTCGATCCCTCCTGATGTGCATTGTGCCTTCATACTTCTTAAAATGTACATACATATGTACTTTGGTTTCCTTTTCAATGCCGTTGAAATGCTTTTTGGCAAACGGTAGAGGGATGTTCTATGTCAGTAAAATGAGGAAAGAAAGTTAGAAACGATCATATGATGATATTAAAACAAGTTACTAAACATGTACATGTAAAAAAGAAATCAATTTGAACTTACAATTGTTGGTTTCCACCAATAGTTGTACTTGAACTGGAATTTGAAGTGTGAATCTTCGTCTTCACTATCTGATCCAGCATCAGTTCCGGTTATTTCCAGGTCATCCCTCCAAATCCTAACCCGGTATTGAAGGTCCACATAGTTGTACAAGGACATGACAATACGATCTCCAACTTGTAACCTGTTTGAGCTCACAAATTAACCCCAACCTTTGTTTAAAAAAGTCTCTTCTTTCCCATCACCCCAAACAATCTGTTTTAGCTTGACAATCTGTTTAGTGTTGTTATCAGTTCCACGTTGCAGGGTCAGAACAGGCTCTCCACGGTTCACATTCCACGTGGTCCACGCATCCTTAACCCCACGAGCCATACGTTTTGGAATAGGCTAATAAAATTAACCAAGGGTATATCATTATGTAGCAAATGAACATAGTTTCTTATAAACTAGATAGTTATAGGTCAATCAACTCACCACATTTTTAAGTCGCCTAGGAGTATCGATAGTGAATTCAAAATGGTTAACAGACATTGTGCCACCACCTATTAAGCATTGATTCCGAAATGAGCAAGTGCTTACAATTAAGATTAAGGAATTACAAATTAAAGCATCAAATTTTAAACATTAAGGAATAACAAACACCAGAATTATATTTGATTTAGTTAAAATTTAAAAATACAAACATTTTAATCATGCTAAAGCGGAATCAAGCCAAAAGAACCACAAGAATACAACTCTATTACTAGAAATGGTAGATCACCTGAAGACTAGTCATTATGTACTTCCGAAAAACAGATCTAAAAAACTACCCATTCAGGAAACGACATGAGTCTCTTAAAGCAGTTAATTTTAACTTACTTATACTTGATAAACACAAAATTCGCCCTCAAACAAGAAATTAGCAAATTAAATAACCGAAATTAATCAATTTACAAAGGAAATTCCAAACTAAGAATGTAACTCATGTGAATATACCCATTTATCAAAATAAGCGCTAGACTACATATAAGTAATGTAAAATCAAATTCCTTTCATCAATCCAAAAAAAAAAAACATGTCCAACATTCGCAATTTACTAAATATCAAAAAGAACACTTCAATCACATAATGCATGTCCATTTAAAAAAGCAAGAAACCAACGGCTTGAGAGGTCGGAGTATTACCTGGTCGAAGTAAACTGAAATAAAAACGCAAGTTCACAATTGAGAGCGACAGAGTAGATGATGAACAGTGCTTAGGGTTTTGGTTTTGTAACGATGATGGTGTTGGTGTTATGTTTGCAAGGCAAGGTATAATTAGTACTTAAAATTTGAAACGTCGCTCCCAAAAATAAATTTAAATAAAGAATAATGAAAGATGCCACCGCATAATTACATTTTTTAACCATATTGAATCACGATCGTGGAACCGTCCCAATGGTCATTAGAAAACCCCCTACGTTATTCATACCCAACACATCAAAGGTTCGATTCCTTAGAACCCCAACCCCCCCTTTTTATTTTGGTATTTTCTGTATATTAATGTTGTTGTGTTGAAGTTTGTGCTAATTGCCGTACCTGCTTTTCTGCTTTTTTGATAAAAAAAAATTGGTTGGTACTATTTCTATTTGTAAGTTAAACAGAATGTAATGAATTTGTTGTAAATTAGGATGGTTACATATTAGAATCGACGGAAAGATTATGTTGAAAATTTTCAACTAAGTTATGATTAAAAGACTAATTATTAAACTTACTTTGACAGACATGGTACTCTGTTTCTGTTTAGGAACCAGAACCCGGTTCTCAAATCTTAAGAACCTGTTGCAACTAAAAATTAAATTTCAAAGTGTTAAGTAAAAAAAAATTAAAAAAATCTTAACACATTGGACTAAGTAAAAAAAACAAAACAAAAAAAAAAAAAAAAAAAATGCAAGGAATGGGTGTGGTGAATGGCCAATTTTTATTGTCGAATCATACAATGATGAACCTATTAATGGGCCAAATGAGGGTGAGGATGGTGAGGTTGATGGTTGTGGTAACACTAAACCTAAGGGTGAGGGTGCTGGTACAGAAGAGGAACAGGAGGAGAGCCAAGAGAAAGATGAAGGGACAGATGATACGAAGGAGGATAGTGAGGAAGTCGAAGGGACTGCTGACAATTCTCAAAGTTATGATAATTCTGACTCAAACAGTGAAACTGAGAAACTAGTCGCTGTTAATTCAGGCGAATCATTCGAGACAAAGAGCGAAACGTATAATGATGTTGATGATGATAGCAATGGTTCTGATTCTGGGAATATTCATGAAGCAAATGAAGACAGAAGTGAAGATTCTTCCATGTTTCGTATGAGAGTTTCTGATAATTGATTGCATGTTGTCTGTTGCTCTTGATGTTGATTTGCTATGGGTTTTTTTTTTGTTGTTGCGGGGTTTTTTTTTGTTGTTATAGGATGGAAATTCCATATGGGGGTTTTTTGGGCTGATTGTAGGATGGAGTTTCTGATAATCTATGAAAATAGTAGGTTGTAATTACTATAAGTATGATATCAACAATGGCTGAAGTTGATTATAAAAATTACCTGTTTCGTTGACTTATTCGTTGTGCAGCATGAACTAATGTAATAACACAATGCCAAAGTTAAGAGCCCAAAATACAATAACATGTGCAAGAACATGTGTAAGAATAAGTGCAGCCTAACAGATTCTCACAGGCACAGCCTAACAGATTCAATGGCTCACAGGCACAGCACATAATACTCATTTATCAAAGATTACAAGTCAATATGATAACCACAGAGTTGGTTCAGAGTTTAAAACAGAATTTCTTGAGCTCCAGCCTCATTTCATCACTTAGCAAGCTAATTTTGACGCTTCTTGCGCTTGACCTGATGACAAAATTGACACAAACAGGCTTCAGAAATAACTCAAACCTTTAGAGTGCTTTAGAAAATTGAAACCTTTGACACAGTTGAACTGTATAAATAACTCAAATAAAATATAATGAACTGAAACAAATTTCCAATACCGGCTTCTTCACATATTGCTGTGTTTCTGGAGCATCCGTGGGGTGCGTCTGAATTTGACAATCCTGAAGGCATAAACACAATTAATAAATGTATAATAACAAAACGGGGGTAAAAATCTATATGGAATGGTAACAAGTACCCGTGAAATACCTTAGGGGTGTTGTATCCTAACTCAGCAAGAGTTTTGATCCTAGGCTCCTTTGTTTGGCCTCTACGCGTCTTTTTTGAATTCAGATCTCCAATGTTGCAGGGGCTCTTGCTGATCTCTGATTGGTGAGAAGGAGTTGACAATGGACACATGTGATTATTTGCAGGGGGAGAAGTCGGTGAGGAACAATTAAAATTATCCATTAATGGGTCATTGCCCAAGTCTTGAGCTTCACGCGCAGCCTCCCAGAACTCATCATAGGGATTTGGACCCTTTTTCTTACGCCTCACCTGAGTTGACATAATTATAGTTCAGAGCACACTCAAACTTCTACAACATAAAATATATCAGTATAAACAATAGTAATATACCGGCTTCTTCACAAATTGGCTTGACTCTGGAAATTCAGTAGGTTGCGGCTGACTTTTCAAGCCCTTAAGGCAAAACACATAATTAGTCAGTGCCGCTATAAACGTTTTTAACAAATTAAGTATGGAATGGTAATACCTTAGCACTTTTTATCTTGCTGGTCTTTTACCCTAACTCAGCAAAGCTTTTATTCCTAGACCCCTTTGGTCGCCCTCTAGGTTTCTTTTTTATAATCGGATCTCGAATATTGCAAGGGGACTTAGGGGGATGATTGTAATTGCTAATGGGAGTGAACTGGCCGCCTCCTGAAATTTGTGGGCTCAAAGCAGCTAACTCAGTACTGGCAGATAATGGAGTAGTGGGAGCGGGAGAAGTTGTTGCGGAGGGTGTTGCTTGCTGAAGAGGGGATGACATGGGAGTAGGGACAGGAGGAGAAGTTTTTGAGTTAATCTCCGGATTTGGTACCGCCAACTTTTCTAACAATTTTGCACGCTTCTCTTTCACCACCGCATGAAGCTTGGAAATTTCTTTGCGAACAGCCTCAACCGTCTCATCATCTACTACAGACGCATCATCACACAAAGCCTCAAGGTCAGGGATCAAGGAGTTGTACCTTTTGCATTCCGTGGTGTGTGACGGATCATGGTAAGCAACTTTTACACGAGTGTGCCTCCTCACAACATCTTTCCGCCACCGAACAAGTACAAATTTGGGAGGAATATCTTTAACCTTCCTATCATCCCACACTCTTATGATGTGCCTACATAGAATGCCATCCTTCTCAAACTTCCGACAGTCACAAATACTGTCTTTTGTGACAAGATTAAAGGTAACTGAGTACAATCTTTTGAAGTCAGTCAGCTTTTCCTCAGTGGTACCACTTTTTTTAATCCAGACTCTGTCTTCAATTACATACTTAATAGCCTCAGAACTTATAACATCTTGGACCTTGGGAATCACATACAACATGCGCCCACATTCTTTTTGTACTTCTTGGAATTTTACATCAGTGTAGATTTTTTGAAAAAACTTCTCCACTTTGAATCCACTAACAAGCCGCCTGATGTATTTGGAATCCCTATCATCCGCATCAGTCTCATCACTAACCCTCTTCTTCATTGCCTGGCTATACTTTTCAGGGAATTCACATAATTTAGTGTGCTTATCAACAAAACCATCAAAGAAACTGTTTATGCTCTCCACCCTCTGCGTCGTTTTCATCCCCGCCCAAAAGTACTCCTTCATGAAAGCAGGCACCCACATGTGCCGCTCTACAAACAACTCTTGCAGCCACTCATTATCCTCTAGCTTATACAACTTCATTGCTTCACACCATCGTGTTTGGAATTCATCGATAGTTAAGCTATCGTATATAACATTCTTGAGAGGATTTTTGAAGTCATTGTACCTGAAGTATGTAGAAGGGTAAACAACATAAAAACCATCCTTACAAGGATATCACAGCACCAGGACATCACAGCACCTAAGCATTACAAGACTAGCCTATGATGATAATCAGAACAACTAAATGCAGAGTACAATCACATACACTAAATCAGAACAACTAAATGCACATAACAACTAAATGCACATAATCCAGTAGCAAAATAAAAATACTTACAGCTCACACTTCCCAAGTTTTTCTGGAAATTTTTTTAGGATGTGCCATATGCACCATCGATGCCGTGTGTTTGGCATAACTTCAGCTAAGGGCTTCCTCATTGCAGGTGCTTGATCGGTAAGGATGGCTTCTGGTGCTTTGTTGCCCATACAGGACAACCACTGACGGAATATCCAACGAAATGTGTCGGAATCTTCACGAGATATAAGAGCACAGCCTAACAAGAGCGATTGACCATGATGATTAACTCCGACAAAATTACAAAACGGGAGCTCATACTCATTGGTGAGATATGTTGCATCAAAACACACTACATCTCCAAAATCTTCATATGCGGCTATACTACGCGCATCAACCCAAAGTACATCCTTCAAGCGACCTTCTTCATCCAACCGATGGACATGGAAAAAGTTATGGTTGTCCGCTTGCATGTAGTCAAAGTATTCCATCATAGCATTTGCATCTCCCCCCGCCATCTTCGAACGTCTTTTCTTATACACCTCATGTTGCATATCCTTGACATTAGGCAAGTTCTCATTTTCAGTTCCCAAACAACCACGAATTTTAGTCACCGGTAGTCCAACCTCAAAATAATTATTCAACCTCTTACGAACAGTAGATGTCATTTTTTTCATACGATATTCTTTAACTAACTTAGCCATAGCGGGGTCCAACTTATGAGTATGCTCCAATTCAACTGTAACCAAGACCCACAGCCCTTCCCTATTAACACTACCATAAATCCTAGCTTGACACTCACATTTTTTGGATTTTCTTTTGCACCGCGCAAGCTCATCCTCTACTATGTCCCCATTCCTATTGCCAACACTTCCTCCAACTTCCATTAGCCTTGCCCTCTTCCTTGCCTCCCGCTGCGCCCTCAAATTGGGTGGACCCCAACACTCACACTTCCAAGTCATCCCCCTAATCTCTTTCTTATTAAGAGTATAAGCAGTTTGAACTCTACTAATTCCAAACCCACACCGCTCTGCATAAGACTTATAATATACCACAATTTCCTCCCAACCATTGAACATCATTCCAACTTTTGGGGGATCAACAGAGGTCATAACAGAGACCTTAGTTGTTGACACATTTGTTTCAACAATCTCCAAAGACTGAATTGGGGAAGAGGTTTGGATAGGTGTGCGCCAGTTATCATTATTCTCAACATATTTTGTAAGGGAAATATTGTCCAACTCATCATCATTACCATTACTACATTCAACTTCAATCAACTTACCTACCCGATCTACTTCATCTCCATCCCTTAGCATAAACTCATCCGTCTCAGCCATATCACACCATTACTCAACTATCATACCTATCCCAACAACAATACGACTCACTGTTATCACAACAATACTCAAAAAACAAACAAGTACAATTAATTGTAAGCCACTATCCAATTCAGCTACATTACTCAAAAATCAAACAAGTTCAATTAAATGTAAATAACTATGAAATTAAGCAAAAACCACTAAATAAATCCAACGTTTAACAGCCCAACCACAAATTCCAGATTTAAGTTACCAAATACCAGAGTTAAGAACAAAAGATGCACTAGTTCAACATTGTGTTCGACATTATTTCAATCAATATGAAATTTGAAAATTGAAACCATTTCGCCAAAAACAAGAATTACCAATTCAACGACAATTCAAATTAAGAGCTGAAATTAGCTAACAATCCAACATAAAATCACAATTCAGCAACAATTAGCAATTCTACATTAATTCAAACTAAGATTCGAGAGAATTTCACCTGATTTAAGCCGCGAAATGTACATCAGATCTGGGGAAACAGCCTCACCGGAATAACAACAAATGCACGATAAATCAGATCTACACAGCCTCACCGGAATATCAATAAATGCACGATAAATCAGTCTAACACAGCCTCACCGAGCAACTGCAGAGAGAGAGAGACAGAAGAACATTTGAAGAGAGGGTGGAACAACAGTCAAGAGCTGGTGTGAAGTGAAGAAAGAGAAAGAACAAAAGGAACTAACGGTATTAACTTAGAAGAACTAACGGCTACTGGGCCCCATATTTCGCTAATAAGTTAGCTTAACCAATTGTCCTACGTGGAGGGCGAGAGAAACATCAAAATTTCTCACCGAGCTTAACCTGGGCGCCCTCTGTGGAAACCACGTCTGTTTGGTTATATATTCTACATTAATTATCTGGCCTTATTATAAATGGTTGATCCAATTCAATTGGATCCACTAATTAACTTCATCCAATATAATCAATCTTTGATATAACAAGAAGAAAAAGAAAATGAGTCAAGTCACAAAGTGTATGGTGGTGTTATTGATAGCCATGGTAACAACTCAGCCAATGCTTGTCACGGCCTTTCCCGGCGGCTTAGCCGATAGTATTAGCTGTGCGTTTGGTGGTATATTTGGTGGTCGAGCTTGCCAGGGGGATCCACCACCAGCCCCAGTAATTGTACACCAACAAGTAGTATATGATCCATATGGTCCTGCTTTTTATCCAGCCGGAGCTTATCCCGCAGGTGGTCAAGTGGTTGTTGGACAACCATAATTGTATTGCTGCCGTTTTCATTTCTCTTAAATTTATATTGGAGACTTTCATTTTATTTTTCATGCAATATTATTGTTTAGTGTTTACATGTTTTTATATTACGGCAAGTTTACAATATGATTTCATTGAATACTATTTATTTTTTGTTAATTTATTTGATGAATGATGATAAGATTATTATTTTTAAGCATAAAATAAGCGTAAATCGATCATTAATGGGTACACACGCACGCATAAAAAAGATAACAAGGTTAATATTTTATTGAAACTAAGGATTTCAATGCGCACGATATAGCCAGACCTGTAAGAAAAATTATTACCGATGGCCTTTAAGAAGTATAAAATTAATTAAAATCACACATCACGTGCATAAACACTAGTAATAAAAATAAAGGACAATTTACACTACCTATTTGAGCTATGGACAGTCTTCTTTAAACGATCCCAACTATATCAATTAATTCATGACAATACCAACTTTGGGATGACATTTCTTAATGTCCCTAGCATATTATGATCCGGCAAACAGATGTCACGTGTTGAATGTTTAGTGACTGTTTACCATTTTATTAAATAATAATAATCTTTTTAGATGAAAAGAACACAACCTAAACATAGCGAATGGATGTTAGTTCAATACTAGAAACAGGCTAATTTCCAACGGACAAGAAATTCCATCGGAAACATCAGAAATTCCGACGAATTTTTATTCCATCGGTTATTTTCGACATATTGTTAAAATCCGTCGGAATAAATGGGCTTTCCGACGAAATAAACCTTGTTAAAACCCTACGTCCTCATTCTCCCCTTCATTTCATCCGCCCCTCTTCTCTCTATCTCTCCTCCGCCCCTTCTCTTTCTCCTCTTCTCTCTTTCTCTCTCCTCCGCCCCTTCTATTTCTCTTTCCCTTCGCTTCTTCTCTTCCTCTCTCCTCCTCCATCTCTTCCTATCCATCATCTTCTCCTTCTTTCGGCTCTTTCCTCATTTCTCATCTCTTTCGTGTTTTCCATGGTCGAAATTAATGGTTTTTTTGGTCAAATTTGACCATGAAAAGTGTAGATCTAAAAATTTCGTGGTCGATTTTGGCCAATTTATACCAAATTCAAGAATTCAAACCCAATTTTGGTTACTTAGGTATTTTTTCGAGTCTTTAATTTGTTTTTTTTTTTAACATTTTCAATTCAGTTGTTGGTCGATGGGTGTGGATTTGGTGGCTTGGTGCCGTGGTATAGGGATCTGGTGGTTTTCTGATGTGGAGGCTTTTTTAAAAAAAAAAAAAACTTTTTTGGTTATGTTGTATTTTTTTCGTGGTGGGCAAGTCGGGTTAAGGGGGACCGTGGTGGGTGGTTTTAGATTAGGGTTTAGGTGGGCCGTGGTGGGTGGTTTTAGATCTAGGTTTAGTTTGGGAGGGTTAAGGTGATGGTTGTGGTTAGGTTAGGGCTAGGAAGTGGGTTAAGGTGGTGGGTTAAGTTTGGTTCAGTTAGGGTATGTGGTGTGGTGTTTCGGTTAAGGTGGGTATTGGGTGGTGTGGTTCGGTTAGTTGGGTGGGGATGGGGTTGACAACGGCGTTTTGGGTGGTTGGAGGTGGTGATACGTCGTACCGGTGGTGGCGAGGCGTATTTTTTTAATTTCATGAAATAATTTTCCGACGGAATTCCCGTCGGATCGGAAATTTCCGACTGAATTTACTTTCCGATGGATTTTTTCCGGTGCTGGAAAACATCTTACGGCGGAAAATTCGTCGGAAAAGTGTTTTCGACGGAATTTACAACGGAAGAGGCCGTGTTTCCTACAAACGCTTTTCCGACGACCAGATCCGACGGATTTTTTCCGTCGAAAATGGCCGCTTTTCTAGTAGTGGTTTAGAGAAGTGGAGGATTTTTTTTTTTAACTAAGCCTAATAACGAAAACCAGACGACATGCATGCGTAGTGCCACTATTAATTAGTCAAATTGGTCAAAATTTTAATTGAGATTGTTCTAAAGTTACTCATAATTGTTTATCGATAGTTGAGACCTTTTAAACAAGATAAATCATGATTGGGACTGCTAATGTCAATCAAATTGTAAAAAATTAATTATACTCTCATGTTTCATAAAGTTCTTCACATGTGATCTCTTATGCTCTTATTTAGTAATTAAAATCTTTAATCACATATGATCTCTTATGCTCTTATTTAGTAATTAAAATCTTTAATCACATATTTGTTTAAATTATACAAATATCATCCGCACTACTTGTATATATTTAGAAAATTTGCATCCTAATGAATCTAATGAGATCCCATAAGATAATGACATAATGTATAGTACACCATATTATTCGAAAGCATGCATAATGCATTGACTTGATCGACAAAACCAATGCACTTCTGTTTACTTTGATTATGAAATGGATGTACGTAGAAACCACGTCTCTTTAATTATATCTAAATTAAATTATAAATATTCTACAACAGCTTGTACTAATTAATTTCATCCGATCAATCTCTCATATAACAAATTTTTTTTTTTTTTTTTAAATGAGTCAAGTTACAAAGTGTATGGTGGTGCTATTGTTGATAGTCATGGTAATGCAGCCAATGCTTCTCACGGCTGTTCTCGACAACAGCATTGGTTGTTCATCTGGTGGTTTACTTTATAATACTATACTAGATTAGCACTCGTGCGATGCACAATTTTGAATAAAAAATTCAATACGATATAAAATAATTATTTCACAAAATAAGCGATTTGGAAAAAGAAATATCACTAATACGTTTTTGGTTAATTGATGTTCACACTTTAATTATTTTATTAAAAATTATTTTCCCAATATTGAATTTTGGAGAAAAGTATGATAAAAATGATGTCATAAGCAATTTTGGAGGGAAATATTTTATGAGAAATTGACATGTATACAATAGTAATGTAAGCGATTTTTATTTTAGTTATAGTTATAGATTTATTATTATAATTATTAAATATTAAATATTAATTATTATTTAAATATTAATTATTAATATTATTTTTATTATTAAATATTAATTATTATTATTATAATAATTTAATATTAAGTATTATTGTTAAGCACGGCAGGGCAGAGCAGAGCAAACCAGATTTTAGAATAGCATAACAGAGCAGTATAAAGAACAGGGCCTTAATCAAGTATGGAGTATAACTTAACCAGTCTCTTACGTGCCTACGTGCCTGTACGTATTTGTGGCATTCAATTCGCACGCTTCAACTCTGATCTTGTAACTTAAGTTCATCCAACCTTCATTCGCTTAACTTCAAGAGTTAACGTGTTAAGTTAAACTTGAATAATTTAATTAGTCATAAAAAGTTGATTAAAAACCCATGTTAACTATTCAGTGGCATACAAATATACTTGTAAATTAAATTTCAAAGCATGCATTATTATGAATTATGATAAATGAGGAATAGCTAGCTTAGCCACTGCACGTCTAGCTGTTTAATTTGATTATGATGAAATGGATGTGGAAACCACGTCTGTTTGATTATATATTCTACATTAACCATCTGGCCTTATTATAAATGGTTGATCCAATTCAATTGGATCTACTAATTAACTTCATCCAATATAATCAATCGTTGATATAACAAGAACAATAAGAAAATGAGTCAAGTGAGAAAGTGTATGGTGGTGTTATTGATAGCCATGGTAATAATGCAGCCAATGCTTGTGACGGCCGGCTTAGCCGACGGTATTAGCTGTGCGTTTAGTGGTATATTTGGTGGTCAAGCTTGCCACAGGGATTTATCACCACCCCCGGTAATTATACAGCAACAACCACAAGTAGTGAATCCATATGCATTCTTTCCTGCAGTTTATCCAGGCGAAGTAGCTTATCCAGCCGGAGTTTATCCAGCAGGTGGTCAAGTGGTTGTTGGACAACCATAATTGTATTGCTGCCGTTTTCTTTTCTCTTAAATTTATATTGGAGACTTTCATTTTATTTTTCATGAAATATTATTGTTTAGTGTTTACATGTTTTTATATTACGGCAAGTTTACAATATGATTTCATTGAATACTATTTATTTTTTTGTTAATTTATTTCATGAATGATGATAAGATTATTATTTTTAGCATAAAATAAGCGTAAATCGATTAATAATGTACACACACATGAAAAAGATAATATATATTTTATTACTGAAACTACGGATTCCAACAATCCAACGCGCACGCTATAGCCAGTCCTTTAAGAAGAATTATTACCGATGACCTTTAAAAATTATAAATTTAATTAAAATCGCACATCACGTGCATAAACACTAGTAATAAATAAAAGGACAATTTACACCACATGTCCTAGCTAGCTATGGACAATCTTCTTTAAACGATCCCAACTATATCAATTAACTCATGATAATACCTGATTAGGGGATTTTGCTCCCACCAATCGGAATGCGCCACGTGGACCAATCAGGTCCTGCCAAGTGTCCCCCAGTTGGAACTGTCAGGGCTTGCCACGTGGCACGCGCTTATTCGTCCACCTTGGACCTATTATGTCAAGACATGTGGCATACTCCATGCCTAATGGAGAAACCGGCCACCCAGGCCCAACTTCCGAGGGAAGCCCAATCGGCCCTAGGTTTACCTAAACCTAGGATGGGCACGTTTTCCAAGGTTATAAATACCTCCCTTAATCCTCATTAAGGGAGAGAACAGAAACATTACGGAAAAAAACACATTAATTACACACAGTAACAACCGGTTGATCTCGCTAACAAAGCAGATTACCTACATTAAACACTCTCACCTAGAGAGACCAAATCACTTTAATTTCCGCATTAATTACTCCTTAATCAGGTACTAACTTGACCGTTGGAGGCGGAGCTCCCAGGAGTCTCCGTTATTTTGCAGGTACAGGCGTCCGGTTCCAGTCTCGGAATTGTAACTCTCCCGCAGGACATCAGAAAACCCCGAAACATTTTGGCGCCGTCTGTGGGGAGAGTACTTCTGAGATGGCATCCAAGTCTGTACCGACTCCTGAAGAGAGGCGTCCCCTAGACGACCCTCAAGTTCAGTCGGACCATGATACCGAAAGTGAATTTGAAGTTGAAGCTCATACAGCTTCAGACGGGACCCTAA